CTAGTCAGTGAAAGCCAGTGCTTTGCAGTTAATCATCCTTTAGTAGCTTTCATTGGAAATGGAGGATCTGAATTTTATTTGTTACTGCTTGGATCTGTGCATGACTACAGCAGTCATTTCCTCCCCCACCTCCCCGAATATATAATATAGAGTAAAAAAATAATAATAATCTTGGTTACTAATTTGTTCTTACACCTTGTACTTCATCCTTTCCCTGTCAAATGAGAAATTGCTTGTTGGTGATGTCGCTCTCTGGGGAAAACTGTGGTCATCTTTAACTTTCAATATTGCTGATAGGTTTTTCTTGAGGTAAAGTCTCATTAGAGAACATCCTCAGAATGTTTTTGGCACTTTAAGTTCAAAATCTTCTTTCACGTGGAAGAACTTCCTTTATAGTCTAAGAGATTATCAAGCTTACAAGGGTGTTTGGGAAATAGTTAATGTGAAATGGATCACAGTGTTAAGCTGCGAGCCTTGCCCTGCCTGTCCTTTCTACAGTGTCTGGAGTTAAAACCCTGTCTCTCCTGAATTGTCTATAAAAACTGCAGATTAGACTTGTGGACTTGGTTTGACATAACAGGGACATGCTGGTTTCTGTAAACTCACATCCCTTGAATGTCCTGGCTACCTTTTCACCTTTGTGCTTTCTGCATCAAAAGCTGACAAACTTCCTTTTATTGCAGACAAAACAGAAAATAAGAAAGCTTCATAGTGCCATAGGTGCTGCCTCACGTCTGTCTGATTTCACTGATGCTTTTCTTTTGGCTCTCTGGGAAGCAAATAGAGCTACTGCAGACAGCCTCTTGGAGGGCAAGGAACAGTTAAAATTCCCCCTTTTCAGGTGCTGGAAAATTCTAGCAGTGAATTAAAAGTAATGGATGGCATGGAAGAGATGGAACTATCTGCTGCAGAACAACAAGGACAAGACATTGTCATGTGCAGTCCGGAGAAGGAGACCTGCACAGAGACTAACTTTTCTCAGTCTGGAGAACCAAAAATACATCAGACAGGTGCATATCTTAAAGCTGCTTAGTATAGTTTGTGCGGTATTGCTGGGGCCTTATGATTATTCTAAAGTTTTATGATAGTCTAAATATTACTCTTTGAAATCACTGTCGTTGTAGCTTGGTTAATCTATGTATGCTGTTAGCAAAACCTCCTTCAGCTAGTATGACTTACACATGCGTTGCGCATGAGCAAACAGTGCCCCTCAGATTTTTTCTGTGTAGTTTCCATGTGATATGTGAAGGAGAAAGCTAATAAAAAAGGCTTGAAGTAGAAGTAGATACAGACAGTTTAGGGGTTTGGGGTTTTTTTTTCCCAGTAAATGCAGAAAACAATACTGTTTTTCCAGCTTTGGCAGCATCAGACTAACTTTTTTAAAAAAAATGAAATACTCTTATTTTTCAGATGTTTCATGTAGTGATTTGACGTCCATTGAGAGCAGAAATCCTTTTGATATGGTAAGTTGACCTTCAGGTTTATTTGACTAAGACAATCTGCATGTTACAGTACTGTTAACCTTTCCTACAGAATCAGTTACTGCACGAAGTAAATTAAACTCTGTAAGATGTTATCAAGCCAATTCATATAACTTACTCTAAATACAAGCCACAATTCCTGTCTCCCTGCTCGGGCTCACTCTGTTATTCCTTGTTGCACATGATGAGTGTAAGATGAGTCAAGACATTCATAACAGAAGAATGATTCTTATCAGATTGATCCTTTAAATTACATTTCTTATGAATTTCCTTGTAAATATTTACTAATGTAATGAATGGCCTGGCCTTTCCCTTCCACTTTCTTCTTGGGGTTTTCCAGGTCTGTCCCATCCCTTTTTTTTCTTATAGCTTTGTCTTTTAGAGCTGGAAGTAAGATTCAACAGGGAGAAGCAGGTGTGTGAAAACTTTCGAATCGTTACAAGAATTTGGGTGTACGGTTTCCTTGGTCTCATGTGGAAAGTCCTCTTTAAAATATGGATTAGTGCTTTAAATGGACCACATCTTCACTTCTTGTTTTATGTCTGGAAATAAGCTTGCAAAATTTCTCTTGGGAAAGTCATGGTACTTACAGTGGTACACGATTTTGAACGGTGGCTGTTGCTTTGAAACGGTATCGTATATAAGCGAGCACATTGTAGTATACTTAGTACATCTACTGCACCGCTGCAGGTTTCAGATCTGCCTGACGGATCCGTGCTTAGCTTATTCTAAAGCTGCGATGTGTCCACAGTACTGAGAGGCAAGAGAATTGCATGCTTCTGTTCCCTTGTCAAAAGCATTTTCTGCTAGTTTTTGTCCCACGATGTTTAAGTGGCCTCTCAAGTAGGCAGGCACCTGACCGACATAAGCAGTTATTACGGTTGGTCTGGTGTTTATATAGATGTCATTAGAGAAAGGGGAATTTGCTATTAGCTGATTTCGTGTGTCGCTGCAGTGGTGTTTTGCAGAGCAGATAATTGTTCCTCAGATGCTTCGCTCTGATTTCTCCCACAGCCAATGCTGGATGCTGAGCTTCCCTTCACTCCAGTCAAGAGCAAAGCCCAGAAGTTTGCAGCAGCTGAAGCGTTCAGTGACCTTATTGTATTTTCTCCCCTTTCTCCCTCTGGGGAAAAATGAAGAGCGACTTGAAATTCAAAATGTGTAAATTATAGTAACAAAAAAAACCCACAGAGGATCCCTGGAATACAGTCTGCTACCCTTGAACTGTGTTCTGAGTGAGTGAATACCTGTAGTATTTTGTAGTGGAACTTTACTACAATATTTTGTAACGTTCTATGGGGCAGTCATCATGCGCTGTAAGTCCTGCTGTATATTAGTAGCGGGGTGTTTGCTGGTTGTACCTGCCATACCCAATGATTGCACATTCTGACTACAACCTGAAATATTTTTATTTTTGTATGATTTCATGTATTTCCTGTCTACTTCGAGTTGTGAAACTCTTCAACTTTAAGCTTTTCTGTCCTGACCTTACTTACCTCATGAATTATTATTAGGAGATGCCTATCAGACTAGCTGTACCTGTGCCCTATTTCTGATGCGAGGGCACCTTCTGGGGGTAAGACTCAGCCTGTTGCCTCCCCCGAAGCACTGTTTCATACTCGATCGCCGTTGTGAGGGTACTGTTGCACCCTTCGGCTCCAGCATTCTGTGCCTTAACAACTGCCTGATCAGCAGATGGGGCAGGGTTTGATGCATGTAATTCTTTCCTGTGGGAGTCTTCCTGGTGTTAAATGACCACTTGCTTTGTAATAGTAGAAATGATCTCAGAACAAGGATTTCAAAGTCAGATAATATCTTTTCCTGGCAGTGTATTAAAATAGGCATTGATTATTATTTCCTTTAAGGACACAGTTCTCTACTGAATATCTTGAGTTACCTTCAAGGCAACCCCTATTCTCTCTTTGCTTTTTCATGTGAAAATCTCTTAATCTCTTTCTCTGAACCCTTGACATGTTAACCTCAGCCTCTTCTCGCATCTTGTTCCTTACGCATTCTCTTATCTGGACTGTAATATATTGATGCATAAGGAGCATGCCAGTTATACTCTATATTTGAGTAGTAGTATTAGAGTACTGCCAGTTGTTATATTTTTAACAAATACCTGACTGGGCTTCTTCTTGTAATGGTGACCTTAGTGTAATACACACGTTCTTCCACTAGCCTTTATTTTAAACCAAGCCAAGGTAATTCAAATCCCTCAGCAGAAAGCATGGCCACTACAGCTGGGGGAGCTTGTCGGGCTTAAGTTTTAACCTGGAAGCTGTGTACTGATTACACTGAAATAAATAGAGGAAGCTAATGTGACTTGGTGTTACTGTGCTGGAATCAACTTTCTTCATCACTAAACTCCAGTTACAGGGAGAGTTTCAAACAGATAGCTCTTAATGACTTGCCTGCTCTGTTCAGTCATCAACACTGTGCAATGAATAGCGGTCACGAGGGATTTCTGACATCTGATGTATACGCTTAAGCCGATGCCAGCAGCGTGCTGGTCTAGGCTACTGCATCTGCTGGAAATTTCAACACTGTGCTGCTTGTAACTTGGCATCTCCAAGTTTAAATGAAGTGACTTGTAAAAGAGTATGAGACATGTCAAAGAGATCCTTGAAAACGTCAATAGTGGCTATTGCGCTGTTCTTGTTTTGCAGACAAGACCGGGAGAATGACTCACAGTGAAGGGAACATATTTTTTTTTATTTTTGTTACCAGCCTGACTCATGAGGTGAACTTGCCAATAAACCTCCCCACCCTTGAAACCGGTCTTGACTCACACAGAAGTGATGAGGGGAGAGAAGCACAAGGCTCGTGACCGGTTCCATGGAGTACGTAACGCCTGTACAATTCCATCTCCCTTGGGAGGGAAGCGCCTTCAGGACGGGCTGATTTGGGCCACCAAATGGGCAGAATGGGCCTTTGAAACGAAGGAGAGGGGTAACTTTTCTAGCCATGGTCTAGGGGAGAAGTTTTGCTTCCTCCAGCTCTGACCCCCTTCTTGAAATACCTCATTCTGGTCAGGCTTAGAGGGTCTCAAGCATTCCCTGTTTTCCGTTGTTTCCTAGTGGATAACTTCAGTGAGGCGACACTTCTGTGAATTACGCGCAACCCAGTCATAGCCTGATCGTGCAACTCCTCCTCCCCTGGGGCGGGGAACTTAAGTCTTTTGCTGCACTATTTTGATTCCTTTAGTGAAAAAGGAATAACCACTCTACCTAGCAGAGCAACTGAGGCTAAAAATACCAAGTTACTGACTGCTGTCTGGTACTTGGAGAAGATGGGGTTGAAAATTGCTGCTCTAGTTCACAGGACCAGTGGCAGCATGTCACAGGCTGCTTTCCCAAGTACTCCTCTCCATACAAATCAAAGGGCTCCTAGTCGCCATCCTTTGGCGAAGAGATTCTCTGTCTCTACAGCAAGAACTCAGATACTTCCACATTTGAACTTGGCTTGCTGGAGGATGTCGTGGCTTTTGAAATCTTACTGAAAACAAATTTTACTTGTGAAAGTGTTTTATTACCTCAAGGTATTCATGTAAGAAGGCACTTCTGTTACAGCCAAGTTTGCATTACAATTACACCACCGTAGTTATATCATGGTTGGCATAACGCTGGTGAGGGTGATGTCCCCAGCAATGCAGAGTTTGGTGATCTCGTTCAGCTGCTTCTCGCGGAAGTTGTACTGCAGCAAGTGAGCATCGTTGACCGCTACCTTGAAGTGATCCACCTCGCAAAGGATCTGGAGCTGAAATAAAAACCCCAAAAGATGACCATCAGATTTGTTCTAGGAAGAAGTTTGAAGCCACAGACTCGAGCAGGCTGGCACTGGCTAAAGGCTGCTGCCAGCTGAGTCCGGACCGGTGGCATGTGAACGAGCTGGTGCAGCAATTCTCAGCTGCAAAAACACCGGTGACCTTTGCCTTCTCCAAAGCCCTGCTGTACTCTTCCTCCTTCATATTTTAGCCCGCAGTCTCTGTCTCCTCGTGACTATGATAGTATTTTCAAGAAGCAGTACTGTACGGTTCACACAGCAAGAGCTGAGCTCTCACCAAAGGCGAACCCATTTTGCAGGAGAAAAAGCTCATGAAGAGAGCTTGGCTGCTAACGGGGGAAATGCTTTATAGAAACCTGCCCGACAACTGCTGCAGAACGACGGTGTCAATACGGAGCATTTAATAATAAATGGGAATAACAGAAGTGGGGAGAAGTTATACCCTGGGCACCTGGACCTGCAGGAGGGGGGTGAGGAGTGCAGGGAAGGTGCCGCAGACCTGCTGTGCTGGGCAGCCAGGGAAGCACACGGGGCGACTGCCCCAAAAGCACCTCTGGGAGCCAATTCTTGTGCAAAAGCACCAAGGTCCTTACAGTGAGCCTTGTTACAGGGCCCTGACCAAACCCTCCCAGCACGCGGTGCAGGTGCTGTTGGCATGTTAAGACTGAGTTGGGGGTGGGTTTTTTTGGTACCTTGAAAGGTTTTCCAGCTTCAAATGGAAACTTAAGAGCTGTCCTCTCCTCCCTTCCCCAGTTATTCAGGAACATTGAATTACAGACGATGACTTTCCTGTTGTCTTCCTTAAAGCGGGGATTAAAGTGGAAGGCAACGTCATTCCCTTTCTTGAAATCCAGTGAAAACCTGCAAAGACAGTAACGGATTCACTGCTTTTTCTACGAAAGCCCTGGACTCTGTTACAGGGCTTGCCAAAAGTAGCAGCAAGAGGGCAGAAAAAAAAAACCCCACAGACCCCATTGGACAATGGCAGGGCATTTACACCTTTATTTGGTGTAATAGTTGATTTTACACCAGACAGGTGTTATTCAGGAACGGAATGCAAATTCCAGCCCCCCCCTGCTCTGTCCAGCAGCGCCCCATGGAAACCCCCCCCCACCCTCGGTGCTGGACACCCCCGGTACCTGTTTGGGTTGGGGTTGACGGTCCCCGTGATGGTTATGAGCATCCGAGGGACCGGTGCTGGACCCGGTACCTGTTTGGGTTGGGGTTGACGGTCCCCGTGATGGTTATGAGCATCCGAGGGACGAGTCCTGCCTGCAGGGGCAGCTCGAAGGGGACTTTCTGGGAGACAACAGGGATTTGGTGTTAGTAAAAAAAGCACGTCAGAAGCCAAACGCTCAGGCAGGGGCTGGCTAACAGTGTGACAGCACACCGGGGCAGCCCCGTGACACAGCGACGACCCATGCCACCCCCCCGGGGACAGCCAGCCCCAGGTCCCTCCCATGGCCAAGCAAAATCAGGCAGTGAAGACACAGAAACCCTTATAATACGATGGAGCCATTACCATCGGAGGAGCCAGTCCCCCCTGCGGAGGAGGGGGCCCAAATCCAGGGCCACTGGGTGGTTGTCCTGGGGCAGGATATGACCCTGGTCCTGCTGGTGCTCCAGGGAATGCTCCAGGTGCTCCCGGGTACAGTCCCTGTCCTGCTGGTCCTCCAGGATACGGCCCCGGTGCTCCAGGATACGGTCCTGGTGCTCCAGGATAGGTCCCCGGTGCTGCCGGTGAGCCAGGATAGGTCCCCGGAGGGCCGGGGTACGCCGGGAACCCCCCAGGAGCCGGCGGCTGGTTCCCCCAGGAGGGCCAGCCTTGGGGTGGGGGGGCACCGGGGGTGGGGTTGTATCTGG